ATTCTGTTGAAAAGTTATCCCAGATGTATGTAGAATGTAGCTTTACTAACATAAACATCACTTCTACTGTAAGAATTCTGTTGAAAAGTTATCCCAGATGTATGTAGAATGTAGCTTTACTAACATAAACATCACTTCTACTGTAAGAATTCTGTTGAAAAGTTATCCCAGATGTATGTAGAATGTAGCTTTACTAACATAAACATCACTTCTACTGTAAGACCTCTGTTGAAAAGTTATCCCAGATGTATGTAGAATGTAGCTTTACTAACACAAACAGCACTTCTACTGTAAGACCTCTGTTGAAAAGTTATCCCAGATGTATGTAGAATGTAGCTTTACTAACACAAACATCACTTCTTCTGTAAGACCTCTGTTGAAAAGTTATCCCAGATGTATGTAGAATGTAGCTTTACTAACACAAACAGCACTTCTACTGTAAGACCCCTGTTGAAAAGTTATCCCAGATGTACATACAATGTAGCTTTACTAACAGCACTTCTACTGTAAGAACTCTATTACAAAGTTATCCTAGATGTATGTGTAATATGGTTGTACTAATCAAAACATCATCTCTATAGTTAAACAACTATTACCAAGTAATCCTAGTTTTATCTGTAATGTAGTTGTACTAATCAAAACATCACATTTACTGTAAGGCATCTGTTGCCTAGTTACCCTAGTTGTATGTGTAACGTAGTTGTACTGATCCAAACATCACAACTACTGTAAGGTAACTGATACCTAGTTACCCAAGCTGTATGTGTAATGTAGTTGTACTGATCCAAGCATCATCTCTATGGTTAAACAACTATTACCAAGTTATCCTAGATGTATGTGTAATGTAGGTGTACTAATCAAAACATAGGAAAGGAAGGAGGAAGAAGGAGTACAATGGTGGAGAGTAAGGTTGGGAATAATGTAGAAACAACTTACAAAAGCAAAGATTGATGATGAGCAGCCATAGCCCATTATTCAATCATATAAGGATTCCTCCAAACTTCAGTGCAAAGAGATGGCTAATTGAAGGTCTCAAAGAATGAAAGAAAGAAGTCGAACTTGAGATAGCAGAATATCTATAATCCTAATACCTACCCAACAGTCTCCAGGAACAAGGAGGCAAGTGAAAAGGGAAGGTAGAAGGGGAATGGCCACGATGAACAAGAGAAGGGAACGAGAATCACCCACATGGTGTAGTGCCTCAGACACGAGGAGTAAAGAGTAGAGGTAACGAAGTGTGGTACAAAGGATCAGGGAATATAAGTTACTGGAGGGCAAAACCAACACCAAATTCCACTCCCATCTAAAAAAAAAAGCAAAGGCAATCCCAAATGTGAGGATTTTGAAAGGGGATGCAGAATGATTGAAACTGAGGAAATAAGAAGCAAATAGACAGGAAGGAAGAGGCTTAAAGTTGTGGAAACGGAAGTGGTCCAGGAATGGTAAACAATTTAAGTTAGGGTTAGGATTAAGAAGTAGGGAATGAGCAGAAGGATATAAAACAGGGGAAAGAAAAGAATGGTGTATATCTGATACATCTCGGCTGATAAAAGTCAGAAAGTCTAAGGTTCTCTTCAACAGAGCAAGAAGTTCCCAAAACCTAAACAGGTTAAGGAACTATCAAATTTTTCAACTTCATTCACCCCAAAAATGAGGGAAGGAATACCCGATGAAGGGACTGGAGCTTAAGTACCTGGCAGCATAAGGAACCCCACTAACCTATCCACAATGGCCACTAATTCATCCCATAAGACATCATTATTACACAACCTGTGTGAGGAAATTAAGAAAATTAGTCACTCACACATGTAGTAGAACATGGTACATGAACAAGTGTTCATAGGTTGGAAAAAAAAAGGAAATAAAGTTCCCCTAACATTGCAAAGCCTGTTAAGTTGACAAAGAAAAAACACATCTGATGTGTTCAGTGCCAAGGGATAAAATTAAGATCACAAGTGCAAAAGCATAAAGAGAGCTAGTGCACAGGGTGGTTATAGTGCCTTCCCATTGGTGGAGGGCTTTTGCTGCATAATAACGTAATTATGCAGTAGCACAAGTCACAAGAAATCTTGTAAGTTTAGGTGGGAGTTGCTTAAAGCTAGTGGCATACAAATCTCTAAAGCAGATGCATGGGGAAGACAGCTTTCTGTGTGAAGAGGTATGTATTGCTTTGGAAGACAAATGTTGCCAAGTTATCCGTGTTGTATGTGTATTGTAGCTGTACTAACAGAAACATCACATCTACTATAACACAAAAATTACTTAGTTATCCTAGTTGCAAGTGTAATATAGCTATACAAACCCAACCATCATTTCCACTGTAAGACAACTATTACCACATTATCCTAGTTGTATGAGTAACGTAGTTGTACTAACCCACAATCACCTCTACTGTAAGACAACTTTTACTTAGTTATTCTAGCTGTATATGTAATACAGCTCTACTGTAACTGATATTTTATGCTTACTTGCTGATGTGTTTAGCTGTATTAACCCTAACATTACACCTATCATAACTGTTATTATATTCTTATATTCTTACCTGCTGATGTGTGTAGCTGTATTGGGCCAAATATTTCTTCTAATTGTAAGGCAAATGTTACGTCTAACACCATTTCAAGCGTATTAGACACTGAAGAACTCTGGTCTTGATTAATCTGTACACTTGCATCTCTCATTATATTTTGACTGCTTGGATTATATCCTTGGCCTTTGTGCTTGGTATTTGCAGATAGTTCTTGTGTAGGTTCAGGAAGACAAACTAATCCATCTAAAATTTTGTTTCCTGATGTCAACATGTCATTATCACCTTGATTTTTTTGTGGATGGTCACATTCTTCAATTATTTGAAGTGGAGCCAGGTCTGAAATTCTTTCATGATTATTGTATTCATACCCAAAATCTAATAGAATGTTAACAGTCCAGTGATGATCACCTTGACACTTTTCAAATATTTCAACAATATCTTCCTCTCCAATGTCTGGAAAACAGTTCTTCAAAAATTCCAGCTTTTCACTCTTAGTCATTGTATCGGGCAGATCATGAGTTGTGGTACTTTTGTGTAACTTAACTATAATTGGTATTTCTGCATCCTTTTCTGCTAAAAGAACAGACTTTCCAGTTTCACTAATCTTGTCATAATAAATACTGCCAATGCGAACTATTATTTCACTATCAATGACATGATTCTTTTGGACTTTTTGTAAAATTATAAAGTCTTTTGATTCACTTTGAGTTTCATTATCATTTTTAGATACATTACCACTCTTGGGTGGATCGAAAACCTCTGAATACTGATCTTCACTTTCTTTCTTCTTAAAATCAACAGGAAAAGCAGGAAGAGACCAGTTGTTCTTACATTTTGCTGAAAATGATGAACAGTCAGACAGTTTTTGTTCAGAGTGGTTCAATTCATCAGTGTGTCTTACATGGGCTATTTTCAGGTTTTGGGATCTGTCAGTATCTGATTCACTAGATAATTCATTTGCTCTGTACGACAAAGCAGGATCTTTTCTGGCATGTCTTGCTTTTCTTTGTGGACGAGGACTTAGTTTTGTCTTTTCTTCTTGGATTTCACTCTCAGAGCTACTCCAGTGCAAACATTCTCTTTTACATTCCCAGTCTGCATTCCACTCAAAACACTTTTCACTTGAAAGTTTCTCATTCATTTCCACAGAATTTTGCACTTCAGATATTCTTATTGGTTCATACATATACTTTTTCTTATTATTCTGTCTCTGTGATTTTGGTTGTAGTTTTTCACATTTATTTTCAATCTTGTGATTATCAGAATAACAAGAATTATTCTCTTCTTTGAACTGAAAGTGTATAGTTTCTTGGCTCCTAGAGTATGATGGTTGTCTTGAAGAGAAACTGTGAGATACACATATAGGGCTGGAGTGTTTAAAGTCAGAATCTGTGTCAACTTCACTTTCCTCTTTCACTGTCTCTCTTTGTAGAATTAAGCTCCCTCTGTGAGCAGGAGAGCCATTGGCTGTCCAGAAGAAGTCTTCATCTTTCTCCCAACTAGATGTGTCCTGACTGGACAAGCTAGCAGATGTTCTTCTACTTACACTCCCACTGTCTTGTTGTGCAAGTTCCATGAGTTCTTCCCACTTGAGCTTTAATTGAGAAATACCATTTCTACCATCTGCTAAAGAAAATCCTGCATTTTTTGGAAATCTAGAGATTTGAGTTCCCTTTAAGTTAGGTGTTTCTGTAATTGGATCATTTTTCTTAATGCTATTATCATTTTGTTGTTTATTGGATAAAAAAATGTCTTGGTCATTAGGAGTAGATGGGATATGACAGGAAGGCTTTTCGTTTGTTACCGATACAGTTTTATCTTTTGGTAGTTCAGTTGCAGCTTTAGAACTGTAGTCAGTTGTCATAGACACTCCACTTGAAGATAAGTCAACATTTTTCTTTAAGGTGGAGAGAATGGAATCAACCGTTATGGTGCTATCATACCTCTCAAACATTCTTAAAATCTTTTCTTTAGATACTCCATGTGTATTACGTTTAGCACATTGGGCAGCGTTGAATTTCCACACAGTGTCAGGCTCAACCAGTTCAACATTATAACCAAACTTAACTCCTAGAACAACGTATGGTTTAATCTCCCACAACTCAATATTAGTGTTATCAATAATTATTGGAGATTTTCCTTTTTCTAAAGCTTTTGTTGTCCTTTTTCTGTTCCATTCATGTGCTTCATGAAGCTTAGTCCAGTCAAACTGATACTTATCTCTTTTAATAAAAAAATCATCAGTGCTGTAAACTACACCATTGGCTTTTAGTTGCTGAGATAAAGTTGACTTTCCACTGCCTGGTAATCCACGAAGTATTACCAATATTTTTTCACCATTCTTGATTCTATTTAAGACTGTTTCAACATCAGTAGCCCTTTTACCAGGTTCTGAAATATTTACTTTATCTCTTCTGCATGATAAGAACAGATTAGAAGCTTTACTCCTTGTTCTATTATATGCACTGGAAGCTTTTAGTTCTCCAGAGAGAGAACCACTGCTAGTGGAGTCTGGTGTGTCTTCCCGTGACTTGTAGGCAAGTGGCAGTGTGCTGGAAACAATCGGAGTTATAAATTGAGGTTGTTGAATAAGAGTAAATAAAGATCCTCCTTGGAATATTGAACCAAAATAATTGTTACTATTAGGACAACTATCACTAGTATAAGATATATTCAAGTTACTGTTACCAGTGGATTTATCACTATCTGAAGATTTATTTTCCAAATATTTGCCACTGAAAGACAATTTTTCATTGTCACTTCTTATAATTTCTTCATCTAATGCATATTTTATTTCTGCTGATTTTTTCTCCTTGTCAGACCCATAACAGTTATCCACTGAATTAGAACTATCATCACTAAGAGCTCTTGCTTCATCTTCTGTATTATCATCTGCAGAATGATGAACCTCAACATCTGAAGTGCTAACAACTGGTCCTTCGTTAAAGCTTGAATCTTGCTCCCCACTGCTCCCTGGGCTACCTAAAGACATAGCTCCAGAAAACCCAATCCTTCCGTCTGAAGAATCCACACACCAACTGCCAGAAAATCTATGTGATGAATTAGTGTGCAAGTTTCCCTCATCGTCATGACAACCACCATTACTTATAAGTGTAAAAAGAGTCTCTAATGCTTGCTCCACTGTAAAAACAAATTCAAAAACATTTTACACATTATCAGGGCACAAATTTAAATTTTTCTTATTGTTCTTCAGTGCAAAAAATACATGTAAATAATAACCATTTGAGGGATCACATCTTGAATTTAAGAAAACAAGCTGATAAAATTCAAAAGTTTTTAAAAGGAAACAGACAATTATTCAGAATTTCTGGTCAAAAGAAATTATCTATACACACAGATTACAACTAAAAAGTAACTCAATGAAGGTAATTTGAAAGAAAACTGACAAGTACTTAATACACTAGAAAATTGAAATATATAACAATTAGAATGAATAAAATCATCACCTGGGTATCCTCGTTGTTAACATTTCCAATAAAATCTGGTCAACTCAGGAGATACAAGTTGTCATAAGTCTATAAACCTCCTTAATCCAAACCCATTTGTAATGAATTAACTCATTCAAATTATTGAGGCATCCGGATAATAGAACCAGTCACACTGCTTAAAATGAACACTATTAAGAGCATGAGTTATTGATTGTTAAATATAAGGGTGCAAACTAGTAATGGTGGTTATGCAACCAGTAAACAAAAAACAACAACTAAAGGTACAATAAACTTTTCAGATTATAATTATATACTTTGTAAATAATTATACAAGTTGTACAATCAAAGCAGCATTTTATCATCTTAATATTTTTTTTTCAAAACAACGACTTACTGCAGAATACAAAATATAAAGTCACTTTAGAAAAGATTTTAGTCACAGCCTTATTTTGAACTAAATTTTTTCTTTAAGTAAATAAAACATTGAATCATTACTTTTACATAAACCTGTTTGGTTTGAATTATGTGGTGACGTCTTTAAGGCAAGACTGTGTGTTATTCATACTGACTGGGTCGACTAGTGATCACTTTCGATGTCTGATTCACCCTCATGATACAATTGAAGAGACTGAACAAAATGACATCTTCATCTGACAACTCTTGACCAATTGGTTGTGATGAATCAGTGGTGAGTCACTAATCAGCTGACATAGCATCATTACTACCCTTGACAATTGCATTTTGATCAGTTGCTGCTTCACCTTCTAGCTTTGTCTTCTCTATTTCAAAGCATCTTTTGAAACATTGCAGTCATCCTCTGGAGTACCCAAACTCTGTTACATTAACCTGTTGTCTAAGTTGATTAGTTTTCTCAATAAGCATTTCATCATTCGTGATATAACATCACACATACAAAAATACAAAACTTGATCCATGTTCACATACTTTCAATGCTTCATATCTGTTTGTTGAACTAAACTTTTGGAATATTTATCAACTTTTCTTTGATGTGAAGAATGTCAGATACAGTCAACATGCCCATGAGAACATTTCTTTCTACACTGAAACGCTTATTGATGGTAACAAGGTTTGCACTTTCACTTGCTTTCTTATATAGACATCGTTTTAATGATGCTTATATTTCTATGCTGCTTTGTTTTAGAGCACTTAGACTTGACATGACTATGGCATAAATTACTCTGATGTCTTGTGGATATTTATTATAGCTTACAATACTTTTACTTTACCACTGTGAGTTTAAGTGTTTTGAGGTCAGTTATTATTACCTCATTTCCTGTACTGATCAGCCCCTACTTGACTCTTCTGGAGTCGTTTATGGACAATTGAATCATGTATCCATACAAAATGCATTCAGATTTGGAATGAGAATATACAGATCATTGACTAAAATTCCTGTTGTTAAGGTTGTCTGGACTAACAAGGGTTCACTGTAATAATAATAATAATCTACCAAAATTATAAAAGCTAATTAAAACAATTATTCAAAATTATTCTAAGCATTACAACTAATAATATTCATGAAACTAGCTATGAAACAAACTGAAGAAGGCCATTACTTAAAAAAGCATCAATCATGAGATCCATAAAGTTACCAATACACGAAGCGTTTATAAATAACAGTGGTGCACCTACAACAACATTAACTGACAGTACAGACTTATATGCACAACAGTTGCCTATTTATGCTAATATTCTGTATATCATTTGTGACAAGTCAGAAACAGTTGCCATTACTTTTGTTACATATTACAGATGAAGATAAAAGTTTTTAATTCAGAAGGCAGCAGCAATGAGAACAAACGAGGTGAAAAGATTATTTTGCTTGGCAGGTTCCCGAAAGTTAAAAGAGCAAAAGCTTGAAACAATCAAGTTAGGGTTGTCTGTGTAAACCAGCAGTCACAGGTTCATACCCTGGTCTTGATACATGATACTTGCTCGCATTTTATACAGATCTTTGAAGATGACAGGTACCTTAACAGAAAAATAGTTGCAATGCCAACAGAAACAAAATCATTATCATAGTCATCTTTAAAAGTTAAGAAACTGAGTGAATTAATTCAAATTATGATCACTAACTTATTGACATTGTTCAGGGAATTTTCTCACTTAGAATGTTGGGATATTACTAAAAATCATATTATTCTGTATACTAAAAAGAGGAGGATATAGTGAGGAATGTTCTGAGTTGGTGCATTTGAGTGTTGTACAGCAGTCACTACACAGGAGCTGCTGGGTTACAGACAATATATCTACGAGTTCTGTGACAGTGAAACTACACTTCTAGTAGTAATTGTCTTCCTGAAGAAGTTAGGTATTATTATTTAGTATTTTTAGTTGTATCTCTTAGGACTGAAAATGTTTAATTTCTGCACCTAAAGCTAAGGCTCAAGTTACAAAAATTTATATCTAATATTCATACTGTTAAGTTAAAATTATTATTATTTTTTATACTGAAAATATATTTCCAATTAGTACTTACTTCATCTTACATGTATACAGAAATATTTTTGTATGTCACAAGCCTTGAACTCCCATGTACCCCATGATCAACGTGATTCCCTGTGTCTTGCATGTAAATCATCATGCAACAACCCTTCTGATGCATGTGAATCCCTCTAGTCCAGCATTTCCCAAACTTTTCCAGCTAGGGACATGTTTATTTTTGTAATTTTTTATGAGGCCCGGCTTCCTCAAATACCTAATTAGATAACCCACTAAGATATGCCTAATTCGTAACATCAAACTGGAAGCAATAGTTCTATCAATACATCATTGATTATAAAATATATAAGTGTTTTATAGTATTACTGTGTAAAAAAGAAATTATACTTCATTGTTATTTAATTTTTACATTAACTGTATATTTATTAATGCTCTTTTAAGAAATAAACTTACTTAATGAGAAGAATGATGATGTTTTTCATCACACAGCTACTTCAAATCAGGAGGAAATGAAGTCAGTTTAATCCTAAAATCTGGCTCAACATCTAATCTGTTCCTGTACTTGTTTTTTAAGAAAACCAACGTTGAGAAGCCTGATTTGCATTTATTAAGTCGTGACAAAGGGCATAAGAAATCTCTCTGCTTTTTCTGATAACTTTGGATACTCAGCATGACAGCTCAGCTAAAAATTAACTAACTATACTTGACTTAAACGGTCTTTCAGTGCAGTGTCACAGGACAGTTCAATAATAGAATCAATTTCTGATTCACTGAGTTGTAATCTTTCCTCATTTTCCGTGTCAACAGTAAAAGGGTTCCTGATCCACATTTTATTGCTGTCAGTTGGAAAAAAATATTCCTTCAAGCATGATTTTAGCCCCAAAAGATGCTCTTTGATTGATGAGGAAATCTCATCTGGAATATTACCTTCTTCATCTTGGTTTTGTAATTCTGTTAAAGTAGAGAAAGATTTATAATTTCTCTTCTCAACTTGATGTACCCATATGTTAATTTTTTTATAGCTGCTTCTCTCTTTTCCTGGACTTTAAAAATATTTGTAAGTACCTTGTAAATTTAGATTTAATGCATTTAAGAATCCAAAAATGTCACATAAATGTCCATAAATAGGCCACCTTAATTAATGAATGCAAATTATGAAACCTGTCTCTAAATTCAAATATTGCATCCGTTGCTGATGGGGGATGTTGCTCCAAAAACAAGATAACTTCATTCTTCATTTTGATGAGTCTCTTTAAGACATTTCCTTTTGATAACCACCAAACTTCACAGTTAACTTGAATGAGCAAATGGTCATTTTATGCGAGATAAAATCCCTTCTTTGATCGTACCTGCAGACAGGGGAAGATCGACTTGGACTCAGCAGGGGGACGTGCCTAGCTAACATGTGGTTTAAATTTACAGCATTTCACAAGAATCTCAAGGTTATCAACACTGTAAAACTTAATCTTAGGCTCTCTAAATTGCACTAAGTGAGAACACCTTAATTCCCGAGGGACTGTAGGTATAAAGGCAGCCATCAGCTTGTGAATTCTATAGTTTCATAGCCTTAAGTATCAAACTTTCACTTTTCCTTCCTGTTATATTAGCTTAGTAGAAATACTGAGAAATCCAAGTTAGATGAAATGAAAATTTAAATTATAATGTATTTGAAAATATTAATTTTATTAGAATATATTTATATTAACTGGTTTAATTACATTTTTCTTTAATATACAACAAGGGCTTGGAGAAAGTTTAAAAGTGGCAGTTGGTAGTGAAAGGGTTAAAATTAATTAAATTAATTTTTTTAGTTTTCTGCAGACCAGCATTTTTTTTCATGGACTGGTACCGGGTCACAGACCACACTTTGGGAACCGCTGCTCTAGTTGATTCTACTGAACTATCACTTCGAGATTAAGTAGAAAAGAAGCACCAGTTTTTGACTGGGGAGAAAGGGTGGGAAGTGTGAGATGAAGTGAGTGCCTGTCGATAATATATTTTCAGTAAATGAAAATAACAACTTCCAATACGGTACCTTACCTCCTCATGCGTCCCCAATGGAAAAGGAACACACGTGTGAGACCACACCACTTCTGTACCAGATATACTCTGCACCTAGTCTGGAAATAGTTGTCACATACACAGGCAGAAAATGAGAGGAACACAACCAAAAGGGAGAGAAAGACTGGGTGGGTGCAAGTCCAAACCACAATATACCAGAATCTCAAT